CATCTTCCTCTTTACTCGAATGTTCTATGTTATTCTCAGAATTCATCACTCTGTACTGCTTCAAGTTTCTTCTTCATCTGTGAAGTTATTTATCAGCATTTACTATCATATCTTTATACTAAGTATAAAAAGGTTCGAGATCATCTCCAGGTAAATGGAAATATTCGAAAGAGTAAAGTTGAATGACGTGTGCGAATGAGGTTGTTGTAGAGTAGGACTCAGCGTACATCCTGTTCTTCCCTACCACTGTGCTAATGGACTGCTCCTACTTATAAATAGGGCAAGTAGATACATTAGAGTAGGATTTGAGTAGGATTTTATTTAATGAAGTATTTCCGCTCTATGTATGAGTATTTAATAAACCTGTTCTTTTTGCTTCCTCTACCTAGTCTTCTCTTCCTCTCTCTAACTACGATCTTCCTAATCCTCGGCTATTTTGAACAAAGAGTTACAATACTAATTACTATTTTCATTTTGGCTTATTTTTTATCCATAACCTAATACATTTCCGCCATCGACGAATTCCACTGTCTGTCCGAAAGAGATGGAAACTGGTTTCGTTTACTCAGGTAACAATCCTTCTTCCACGTCTTCCACGGTTCAATGCCAATGATCTCTAATACAGATGAAGAACCGATGCAATTGTGTCAGGAATGTTATATATTCGACAAAACCGAAAACCTATCGCATGCTGTGTATGCAACACATTGAATGACATGTTGAGCGGAAACATGTTTGTATTTCTTGGATGAATACAATCGTAGACGGTCTCCGGTGGTTCTTTTACGGAAAGACCTGTGGGCGTTCGCAATTGGTTACGTGTCACCGCATATCTATCCAGAATTTACATCTTCAGCCTTGTTAATGTTGCCTATGAAATTACTACGCTTGCGATAGTGTGCGTTATATTACGAGCCGCAGTCATTTTGTAATCAAACGCCGTTAAATCCTTCATGTATTGCAGAGCTAGATCACAGTTAAACTGCCAAAACTGCATTCAGTCTTTATTATACTACACATATTATCATGATCGAGTTCATTTATACAAAATGAGGAGTGTGTGTTTAGCTCTTTCTAATTTTAGAAGAAGTCGAAGAAGAAGAGGAGGAGGAAGGAAGAGGGGGAAGGAAGAGAAGGAAGAGGAAGGAGGAGGAGGAGGAAAAGAAGAAAAACAGAAAAAGAAGAAGTGGCAAAATAATAAAAGGAAATAAATTTTTTCAATAATTTTCACCTCAAACTGAAAATTGAAAACATTTCGAGGTGTCCTCAGCCAAATTTGGATGTTTTGCAAATTATTTTCTCCTGATCAATAAAAGACAGGAAGCTGTGGAGAAATATGACCATCCATGTCCTGAAAGGCCATATCATATTGAGTGAGGGACAAAGTCGTATTGAAAGGTCACAATAGCTACGAGCACTGATTGACATTTTGAAATGATAAAAATAGGTAAAGATACAATATAGTCACCAAATATAAGACTATTGCTGAGAATGGAATACATGAATGTCTGTTTAAGGAAACGATTCTCTATGGCTTCTATTTTTAATCTAAAAATCCACTTTCAAAGACTGATCGATATTCTTTAAACATATTTGTTACAATTTTTGTACATTGACTTTCTATCTTGTCTCCTTGATACGCGTCTTCTTTCTTTTGTGCTTTGTTACGTTTTTCGCTTCTAAGTTTTTTTTTTTTCCCATTGCTGTCATATTTCTTATTAAATTTTCCCTAGTTTTATTCTTTACTTTTATTCTTTCCTCCTATAAAAAATCACTGCGAAGATTCTTCATCTTTTTTTTATTTTGAAAACATGTTCTCCTTACGTCAGCTTTCAAGATGGCGTTGGATTACCGCCCCCTGACGATAATCATAGGCAACGCGATATTTGAAACGCTCTTTCTCTTTTCCTTTTGACATTTGTAGCGGCAACACATGTTTCCTTTCATTTACTAGGCATGTAAATAATTCAGAGACACAAACTGAAGATTGTATTGAACTGTTCTTAACATCGATGGTTTCTTATCCTTCTGTAAACAGGTTTTATTAATACATTTATTAATTCTTGGTTGTGTGATCGCCATGTTTTTCCCCTTTTGTACCCGGACTCACATGATTCTTTCCAAATGTTGTCTGTGAGATAAATGTACCTGGAGACATACAATGATATAACTTCCATTCCAGCAACAACATTTTTTTTTCTTTTACATTTTCTTACAGATTTCGGATTTCAAATACTTTTTGATTTCTCCAATTTTTATCATTACAGTTCATGTATGTATGTACCGACCTTGGTAACTAGACACTTCCTACGTAGCTAAACTGGTAGAGCACATCAGGCGATATGACGGTTCTATGTGGGACACAGTTTCGATTCCTGTCGGAGGACGTATATTGTCTATAAAATTTTTCGGACATTCAAGCCGGAAAATGTTTTTAATATTGTTTATTATAAAGAAAGCATTTACTTAAATATTTGTGTCTATATAAATAATGTATAACAATAAAATATAAATGTATATATGTAAGGGCGAGTTGTTTGAGTGGTTCGGTTTCTGTCCATAAAACCCGCGTTCGAATCGACTCATCAACAAAATTGATGTCATGAAAAGTGCCAAGTGTTCGATGCCCGAAGACACAATTCATATTGATCTTGTTCAAACTGTTGTATATGCTCACATATATATATATATATATATATATATATATATATATATATTATTATTATTATTATTATTATTAAATATAACGGACAATGAATGTCTATTATGTTTGATCATGAGCTGTTCTAAAGTTTGGATGTTTGCTTTAATTTCTGGTGCAAATAAAGACAAACATTGTACAACATTTGGATATTTTTTTATCAAGTTGGTCCTAAGCTTTCGGCTCACGTGAGCCATCCTCACATGACATGAAACAAAGAGATCCACCGTCAAAGATTATATTTTGTTATTTTGACATAGAGTTGAAGCCGAGAGACGTCGAATGGCGTTTTGTCACGTGTGAACAGCAGCTTCAACAGCAGAAAAAGAAAGATTTTTTTTTTGCATTCTATCGTGACTAACGATGAAAAGTGGATACCCTATGATAACCCTAAGCGTAGAAGATCGTGGAGTAAGCCCAGCCATGCATCAACATCGGCGGCAAAGCCGAATGTCCCTTGTTCGAAGCTCCGAATTTGGTGGAGGCAGCTGCGTGTAATTTATTATGAGCTGCTCAAATCGTCTGAAACCATCATAGGAGATCGATATCGACTCAAACTGATGCGTTTGAGCCGAATATTGAAGAAAAAAACTCCCACTATACGAGCAGAGACACAGCAAAGTGATTTTGCAACATGACAACGGTAGGCGACATGTTGCAAAACGGGATCAAACCTACTTAGAAAAGCTTAGATGGGAAGTCCTGCCCCATCCGGCATATTCACCAGACGTTGCCCGGTCCGATTATATTTTGTTCCGATCGATGGCACATGGTCTTGATGAGCAGCATTTTCATTCTTATGAAAATGCCAAAAAATGGGTCGACTCGTGGTTAACCTCAAAAGACGTGTCGTTTTTCCGAGGTGGAATTCAAATACTGCCTGAAAGATGGGAAAAAGTAGTGGCTAACGATGGACAATATTTTCAGTAACATGTTTCTTACTAATTTTTATAAATCAAACATTACTTTTCATGTAAAATCAGCGAGAACTTATTCAAGGTCCTAACATATATATATATATATATATATATATATATATATATATATATATATATATAATCTTATAAATATAAGTAAGAATACTCGTCAGAAAAAAAAACCTTAGGTGTTTTGGCTTGTAAAGAACAAACCTACGCGGATCGTCAGGATACGCTGGCGAGCGTACCCTGACGATCCGCGTAGGTGAAACCTAGGTAGGTTTGCCTGGCTCTTTAGGTTCATAGTTATATATATATATATATATATATATATATGAGTGTGTGTGTCTGTGTGTGTCTGTGTGACATGTTCAAGTAGGTTAGCTGATTTTCTTATAGCACAGGGATTGTGTATGTATGTATATATATATGGTGTGTAAGAGTTGCTGGGATGTTCGATATTGAACCTATTAAGTCGGTGAGATACACATGTACTTGCAAATATACCAAGCAAAAATTAGTTCGATGAATATGAAGATAGATAGATAGATAGATAGATAGATAGATAGATAGATGAAGGAAATGAATGAGACATCAAAAGTCACTTTTATAAGGACAGTTAGGTAAGTGAACATAAAGCACTTTTGTTAATACATACCTCATTCCCTTTGTACATACATACAGGCCGTGGTCAGGGTTTAATAATTCCCCTGTCAGAAAAGTTATTATTTGAATTTTGACCTGAAACTTCATTGGATAATTTTCAATCTCGGCAATTTATGGAGCGTAAGATTCGCTGGAATGTTCGATACTGAACCTGTTAAGTGATTAAGATAAACACTTATGTACATACATATATACATATCAAAAGAGAGTTCGATAAATATGAAGAAAAATAGATAGATAGATAGATAGATAGATAGATAGATAGATAGATTGGAAGAGTATGAGATAGATAGATAGATAGATAGATAGATAGATAGATAGATAGATAGATAGATAGATAGATAGATAGATAGATCGTAGAGGCAAAACATTGTACATTTTAAACCGAGCTTTCGTTTTACTAGATTTCGTATGATTCAATGTTTTAACATTCGTCTCCAAACATCACATAATTAATCACACAAATTTACAAGTATAATTTTTTTAGTAAGGAAATACAGAAGTAGTGAAAAGCATAATAGAAACAATTAGAAAGCAAAGCAAAAAATGTTATTCTTGATGAAATGCAGAGACCAGAATTCAACGTATTAGGTCAGTCGCGAGTAAGTAAAAATGATTGAGCGAAGCCATCAGTTGAGTAAAGGACGAATATCAGACAAAAAAGGAGAGTTAACAGCAAAAACAAAAACGAAAGAAAATAAAGAATCAATGTTTTTATGCAATCACCTTGGCTCTTTTCAGACGTCACAGTTTGTGTAGGCGTGGTTAGCGCCAGCTAGGCTTTGCAAATCAACTCATTAGTGTTCACTGTTAGCAGCTGATCCATCGCACTAGAGGTAGACACTTCGTGTTGAAATTTCATTTCTTCATCTCTTGCATTTGCCATCGTCCCATTTTCAGTTCTAGTGTATTCTAGCAAAAGAAACACTACAATGAAGAGACCATTTCACATTCGTCTTTTCCGGTTTCATTGGCTTTTACGCATGCGTGTAGCGTCGTTCTTTTTATTCACTACTCTTTCTTCATGCTCGTCTGCATTTGTATATACCTTGTTCTTTTCTTTTTTCTTTTTTCTTCTGCATTCTGCCTATCCTCTTTTCCTCTGCTTTACTTTTTCGTCAGTTCATTTACTCCTTTTTTCTCTCTCTCTCACTAATCTCTCGGCTATCTCCTCTTTTTCTCCTTTCAATCTCTCTCTCTCTCTTTCTCTTTTCAATCTCTCTCTTTTTCTCTTTTCAATCTCTCTCTCTCTCTTCCTCCTTTCAATCTCTCTCTCTTTTCTCTTTTCAATCTCTCTCTCTTCTTCTCCTTTCAATCTCTCTCTCTTTTTCTCTTCTCAATCTCTCTCTCTTTCTCTTTTCAATCTCTCTCTCTCTTCTTCTCCTTTTAATCTCTCTCTCTCTTTTTCTCTTTTCAATCTCTCTCTCTCTCTGTTTCATTCTATATGTGTACCTAGTTCTGTATTTTTGTTCATTTCGAATGTCTCTCACTCTATCTCATTCCATCTCCTACGAACTTGCTCTCTCTTATTTTCCTTGTCTTTCTCTCTCCCCCCTACACCCAAGCTCACATTCATTCTCAAATTTTCTTCTTTTCTCCTCTTTTTTTCACTCTCTCGTGTGTACTTCTTTCTACAGTTTGCTTCGTCTTCTTGACTTTTTCATTTACTCATTAATAATTCTCCCCATATCATCCCTCTCTCCCTCTCCCTCTCTCTCTCCTTCCCTCTCTCTCCCTCTCCCTCTCACTCTCTCTCCCTATCTCCCTCCCTCTCTCTACCTCTCTCTTTCCCTCCCTCTCTCTCCCTCCCTCTCTCTCTTCCTCTATCTCCTTTCTCCATCCCTCTCTCTCTCCCTCTCTCTCCCCCCTCTCTCTCTCTCTCTCTCTGCCTCATTGCTTCTTTTATCCCAACTTTTCTTAAATTTCACTCAGTACACACAGACATAGCTATAATCCCCCAATTTTGTAAATAATATTTGCAATAATTCATGATCGATGACAATCCTTTTTTCCTGAGGTTCAATGCATATTAAGTAAAATTATTAGTAATGCATTTATCCTATGACACCCGGATATTTAATTAAATATTAAATAATATAGACAAGTTTTGTCCATTTATTTTAAGTAAGTAAGTATATATATATATATATATATATATATATATATATATATATATATATATATATATATATACAGACCGTGAAGGAAGGGAACTTTGTATGACACAGAAAGTTGGAGCAGAGAGTGGAAATAACACCTCTAATGTTTTTTGTCTTGCTTCATAATAAAGAAAAAATGCAGTTACACTTGCAACTAACAGTTGAACAAGAGCCAACAGGAATGATAGTGAGTAAACTAAAGAAGGTTTTATTGCCGTGTTCTTTCAGGAACTCTAAAAGCATGGCTCTTCACATTTTCCTTTACTTTCGGTATCTGTGAATTATAAAGAATTCTTGAAAAAAAAACGTTCCTTCTTCATAGTTCTAAATTCAAAATTTGATGCTACCAAAGGCTCGAGGGACTAATCTACCCTGCTATTTAAGCCATAGCTTGAGGGAGAGGACGGCTTTTTATGCTATAAATCACCTATTGTAAGGTTCAAGAGCCACTCAAGGTGGAGAGTAACATCCTTTTAAAATGGTAATGATAAATGGTGTGATAATAATCAAAGAGGGGGCTGGTAGATTAATGAGGATAGATAACTAGAATTGGTGTGGATTGCTTGGGAAGCACCCACCTAAAATCTGTTCTACAGTAGAAGTTCTTGGAGTGGGGTAAACTGCTTGGGAAGAACTTTTTTTTAACCTTTTTACCTTTGGAGCACGTGGGCAATAAGGGTGATTCGACTCCACGGATGTAACATGTAAAGCTCTGAACTGACAGAACTAAAGAATAGAGGCCATCTGAACATTTGTCATACAAATTACGAAAGAATCTGCAGAGTGTGGAATAAATCTTTACCATGATATGAAGTATAAATGTCCTTTTTGGTTCCATTTGCTCTAAAACTTTGCCGGTGCTTACATGTTCAGTCCATGGTGGCCTCAAAATCCTTCTGTAGAACCATATTTCTGATATTTCTGTTATTTTCAAGTCCAGCATTCACCGTCATCTTGGCGGATTCATATTTCATATCGACTTTCATTGTTTATAACGAAATTTCCCTGTTTCATAATACTTTGCTCGGCTTTTTGTTAGGCAACTTTAGCAGGCGTCTTTGGTAGGCATCTTTGGTAGACATCTTTGGTAGACATCTTTGGTGGGCATCTTTGATAGGCATCTTTGGTACACATGTTTGGTAGACATCTTTGATGGGCATCTTTGATAGACATCTTTGGTGGACATCTTTGGTAGACATCTTTGATGGGCATCTTTGGTGGGCATCTTTGGTAGACATCTTTGGTAAGCATCTTTGGTAGACATCTTTGGTACACATCTTTCGTAAGCATCTTTGGTGGGCATCTTTTGCAGGCTCTCCCAATGCGCCTTCGGATCTCGTTGTTTTCTGTTGCAACACTTGCGAGATATTTAAATTTTTGTGTTTGTTTGATCTTGAAATTTCCAATTGATAGTTCGTATCTTCAATTGTTCTTTTTGCTAACAACCATACATTCTGTCTTCTTACAACTAATATTTAGTCTTTTCGTCTCGCTTTCCTTCACCGCCTTCTGTGGGAATTCCTACAGTTTCCTTTCTGTCTCCAGAAGCGTGTTTTTGAAATGTGAAAAGCCATAGCTCACAAGCTTTAAATGTCTGCGAAAATTTACTTTAACAGTGCAATGTTTTAAAAAGCAATTGCATTACAATTAATATATTTTCTAGCAATTCCAAGTCATTTTATTTCTCATGAAACATCTGCTCTTTCTTTTGTTCACGTTATCCCATTATAATTACCAGTTCGGAACATCAGATCCGACAGAAACTTCTCAGATCCTTTCTCAATCACAAATGCCATCAAGCAAGTTTATATTCTGGTAACCATTGTTTTCACTATTGTTAAGCATCAATGGGCAGTCAATCTACACAAGAAACAAATGAAAAATAAATGTACAAGTGCCAATAGCGACCAGATTAATCAGAATCGACTCCAGAAATATGCTAAGATGATGATGATGATGATGGCAATGCTAATGGTCAGAGAACCTATGTGCGTCAGTGAAGGGGTTTTAGTTGATCACTATGGAATGACCTTCCAACAAGTCAATATTCCCCTTTGAAAAGCCCACAATACTCTTCGGCATGAAAGTCACCCTGAAATTGCACCTGGCCACAAGTATAAGTCGCTTTGCAGTTCCACCGATCCGATAAAACTAGAAGCAGACCAGAATTGTGCCTGTTTTCTTTGTGTGATACTCTCTGATATGCAGTTAGAGAAAATGATAGACAATATTGGCTGAGGTAAACAAATCTTTTGGTAGATTGTAGAAAGATGCCTAGAGAATCAAGAACATAGGAAAGGACACGCAAAAAAAAAAAAAAAAACGCTGCAAAAGGCTTATCTTCACTAGGTAAGCAATATGGCGAGGATCTTCAAGTAGCGTAGTCGAAGAAGGACAGATAGATCCATTCAAAGTGGATCTTCATGTGGAATAGAGCACGGCAGCTGGGCAACAAGTGCTACCTATAGGGAAACATGGAGATTTACCAGGTTGCTATGATTGAAGAAGGACAATCGAAATGCTTTGTCCATGGCTAGATTAACCATTATGCAAAATATGTATGTGCTTAAGTCCCCTAAAAACAGAAAAAGAAGCCAAAAGAGAACGAGGTACCTTTTCTTTTTTTTTTCTTTTTTTTTTTTTTTTTTGTTTGCTCCTGAAAGCATTTTGCCTTGCCGTAAACCAGAGCATATTTACAATAAAATCGGATGAGTGGAAAGCCGCTGTAAAAAGAAAATTACCCGCTTTTTTACGTTAAAGAAACTGTTCTTTACATAGATCTTAACCCAAGAAGTGTCTTTACTGTCTTAAAGGACGAGTTGACAAATACAAAACGGGTTTCTTTCATATTCGCTTAAGTAATGTTTTTCGTTGGCTTCTTACACGCTTGTAGTTTCAACAAAATGTCTTTTTGTTAATCTCTCATGTGGTGAATATCTCATGAATTACATTAATTTATATAGACGTGTATGTTGGCGTCTGTCTATATTTCTGAGATAAGGTATTATGTACAGTATTTACATTAGTCGGACTATTGTCCTCATCTTTGTCGCCATATTTGTCTCAACGTTTCGGCCGTTGTACGCTAACCAACGCCTTGAGGACACATGGCACAGTGGATAAAGGCGTTGGTTAGATCCAGTGACAGACCCAAAGAAGGTGAGTTCAATTCCTGGTTAAGGCAGTGGAGAACTTTCAGAGGGAAAATTAGCAGGAGATAACTGATAACTGACATCCATCAAACATGGCACGTGGAACTAGAACAGTCTACCCCAGTGATCGAAATAAAGGGTTCAGTTCGAAATTCCAACCACCTGAAGAAGGCTGGAGCGTACAACGGCCGAAACGTTGTGACAAATATGGCGACAAAGATGAGGACAATAGTCCGACTAATGTAAATACTGTGTATGTTGGCGAAGCACATACTATGCAGCTAAGGAAAATATCGTTCACATTGACTCAATGATCCCGACTAAAGGGCGATTCCTATTTTATATTTGACTATATGAAGGCTAACCTATTTTAATAACATGAACACATTGTATTACTAAATTAGAAACACTGATTCAAGGCTTAATGTTTATTAGGTGAGCACTAAAAAATGGTACCATTTTTAGATTGTGCTTATGTTGTGGTGTCCTCCCTCTAAAGCATCTATGTTAGACTCGTCCGCCTACTATAAGATTGGTAGGAGAGAAGGTTCGGGGAACAATGAATCCATTCACTGTTCACTGTTCCAAGTTCTCCTCTGCTTTCACCAGGTATTTTTACTCACACTCTTTGGGCCTTGTCACTAGATCTAACTAACGCTTTTATCCACTGTGCCATGTGTCCTGTGTATGAATTTCTGGGACTTATAAACCTAATGTCTTCAGCAACCATTTTACCAGTGCTCATACTGCAATTTTTGCATGTTTTTTTATCAGAACTCATATTGCAATGAGAACAGCAAAAGTGAGTTCAATACCTGGTTAAGACGAAGGGAGAGGGGAATTAACAGGAGATAACTGATAACTGACATCCATTAGACATGGCACGTGGAACTAGAACAGTCTACCCCAGTGTGCGAAATAAAGGGTTCAGTTCGACATTCCAACCACCTGAAGAAGGCCGGAGCGTACAACGGCCGAAACGTTGTGATAAATATGACAGCAAAGATGAGGACGATATTCCAAACAATGTAAACAGTGTACAAGGCAAGCAGCATATGAACGGGTTGAGTTAAAAAGGAAATGTATTAGCTGTATCCGTCCCCAAGAGGGGGACACAGTACAATCCCTGCGATCTCTTTGGTTTCCTCTATCCTCAACAATGGGCTGTTTCGTGACTCTCAAGGAACACTTACGACCTCAGCAAATTCTTCCTGTCAACCGGACATAATTCACTTAGTTCATTTAGTCTAAAATCTAATATTGATGGAAAATCCATACAATGGCATAACTCGCCATTGACTAGCTGGTAGATAACCCACTGCGATATACATCAATCGCCCTGGATTCTACGCACGAATGAATTTCTCTCAGCGAGTTTCATTTCATTAATATGGAAGTTTATCACTCGTTTTGGAGCAATAAAAATTTCAAAAAATGAAATTAAATGGCAACAGATGTTTAATAAAATTCTATGACCCAATGTCAATATATGATGTTTAAAAATCTACTATGATGACTTAATTCAACAGGTGTTAATAAAAACGTATATAACAAAGCGTTCGTTCACAAATATATGGGAGTATATCTTCTTTATTCCGAGAGAAAGTTTAGCGCTGCATACATAAGGATAGAGATT